TTTCTTCAGAAAAAAAAGAGCTTAGAAAGATATACAGCCTGGAAAGCGATAAACACTGGGGCAGGCATCTGGCCTGGAGGTTAGCACACCTGTGTCCCGTGTCACAGTGTCTGGGTGTGATACTGGGCTGTGGCTCCTGACTCCAGCTTCCTGGGAGTGCAGACCTGGAGGACGGTGGTGGTGGCTCAGGCGCCTGCTTCCTGCTACCCACAGGCAGGCCTAGGCGGAGTTCATATGAAGAGTGGACCCATAGATGAGCACTGTCTCTCAAATCAATGAAAATTTAATAAAGATGTAAACACCAGCTATCTCAGGCAGCCAGGCATTATTTGTAGAATGTTAAGTTGCAATCACATTTTTATAAAATGTATGAAAACAATTTGTGTGTATCTGTGCATACATACTCACACCAATAAAAAGGCGTTACATGCATTCACCAATCAAAACGTTATTTCTGGGGACTAAGCCATAAATGGGTTTATTTCCCTTCTTATATCTTTCTGTATTTTTCCCACTGTCTAACCAAGAACTGGAAAAACTCTTGTAGTAAAGAAAAACAACTATAGAAAAGAAAAAAAAAAAAAGAACAGGAAAACAAAAAAGAGGGCATTTTAGGATCAGAAAAAGTGCCTGACAATGGTGTAGGCCTGTGTTGGAGCAGGCGGGGAGGGCCCAGGGGGGCTCAGGGTGGAGGCGGGCTGAGGGCAACAAGCATGGGTCCGCTCCACAGCAAAGAAAACTGTAGTGGGGGGCACTGTCCTAGACCCCGGACACACACAACAAACAAGGTCAAGTACACGCTTTGCTGGGCTTACACTCTGGTGGGGAGACGCACAATGACAAAGCATGAACACAGAACACTAATCACTGGATTTGCTGCCCAGCTATGGGAGCCAGGTGCTGTTCTAGGGCAACTTAATGAAGTAGGTGCCAATATTCGCTCCAGGTTACAAAGGCTGACAGCACAGAGCAGTTGACTCTTTTACCCAAGGTCACCCAGCTAATCCCACACAGCAGCCACAGGATTTTGTATGGCGTTGAATAACCTGAGGCCAGGAATTGCACACTTAACCACGGAGCTGGGAAGGCCCAGACTGACATTCTCATAGAAGTTATCTGGGGCACTTGTGAAATAAGCACAGGCAAACTGCCAGGTCTGGACCCCAGGAAATTCTTTTTTAAAATAGTTATTCAGGGGACGGCGCTATAGTGTAGCAGGTAAAGCCACCGCCTGCAGTGCTGGCATCCCATATGGACGCCGGTTCGAGTCGCGGCTGCTCCACTTCCAATCCAGCTCTCTCCTATGGCCTCAGAAGACAGTGGAAGATGGCCCAAGTCCTTGGGGGCTCTGCACCCACGTGAGAAACCTGGAAGAAACTCTTGGCCCCTGGCTTCGGATGGGCTCAGCTCAAGCCATTGCAGCCATTTAGGGAGTGAACCAGAGGATGGAAGACTTTCTCTCTCTCTCTCTCTCTCTCTCTCTCTTTCTCTGCCTCTCTTTAACTCTGACTTTCAAGCAAATAAATAAGATCTTTTTATTAAAAAAAAAAGTTATTTATTGAGGCCGGTGCTGTGGCATAGCAGGTAAAGCCGTAAACTGCAGTGCCGGCCTGGCCGCTGGTTCAAGTCCCAGCTGCTCCAATTCTGATCCAGCTCTCTGCTATGGCCTGGGAAAGCAGTAGAAGATGGCCCAAGTCCTTGAGCCCCTGCACTCGTGTGAGAGACCCAGAGGAAGCTCCTGGCTCCTGGCTTTGGATGGACACAGTTCTGGCCATTGTGGCCAACTGGGAAGTGAACTAGCAGATGGAAGACCTCTCTCTCCCTCTCTTCTCTCTCTGTGTAACTCTGAATTTCAAATAAATCTTTTAAAATTTTTTATTTATTGTCATCTACTTGAAAGGCAGAGAGAGAGAGCAAGAGAGATCTTCCATCTGCTGGTTCACTCCCCCAAATGCCTATAACAGCCAGGGCTGGGCCAGGCTGAAGCCAGGAACCAGGAACTCTATTCACGTCTCCTACGTGAGCCGGCTGGGACCCGAGCAATTGAACCATCATCTCCTGCCTACCCAGGATGCATCCGTGCTTTAGATGAGAGACAAGAAAGGTCTATTGGGGAAGGTGACATTGCATTTGACCCTGCCCACCCTGAAGAAGCCAGCCCTGGGAAGATCAGGGCAAAGCAGTCCAGGCAGAAGAGGAGCAGCTGCAGAGTTCCTGGGCCAGGAAGGCATGGGCTTGTGTGAGCTGCAGCTATGGGTGGGAGAAGCTGGCCAGGGCAACACAGGAGAGAGTGGTCAGATCTGCAGGACTGGCAAGCAGCAGGGCTCACAGCTAGCTCCTCCCAGCTGCAGGGCAGACCTGCACTTGCCCTGCCCCTTCCCCACAAGGTCGCCTCCTCCTGTTCAAACATTCCCTGCAGGAGGGGCCTTTCTGGGCCACTCCCAAAGCTGCCACCATATCCCTGCTTTGTAGTCTTCGGAGATCTTGTCGCATCCAATAAATTACACTACTGCTTTGATGAGTCACTTGTCACTTAGCGAAACCCGTGGGTACGTGACTTCATCATGGTGCCATGATCACAAAACCCACAGGAGAGGACACTCACTTCACTTGGCCTCTTGATGCTGTCAGGGTAACACAGCATTCTGTCCTAATCGTCTTTATAGAAATAGAAGGAATCCACTGTAAAAAAATGAAAAAAGTATAGCATTGCAAATACATAAGCCAGTAACATAGTTGTTTATTTCATCACCAAGTATTATGAACTGTACAGAATTTATGGGCAATACTTTTTTAAAAAGATTTTAATTTTATTTATTTGAAAGGCAGAGTGACAGAGATGAAGGGAGAAGCAGAGAAAAAGATCTTCCACCTGCTGGTTCACTCCCCCAATGGCTACAGCAGCCAGGGCTGGGCCAGGTTGAAGCTAGAGCTTGGGACTCCATCTGGTCTCCAGTGTGAGTGGCAGGCACTCAAGTATTGATCCATCATCTGCTGCCTCCCCAGGCGCATGAGCAGGAAGCAGGATTGGAAGCAGAATATCTTGGACTTGAACCAGGCTCTCCAATATGGGATGTGGGTGTCCCAAGCAGCAGCTTAACCTGATGTGTCAAAATGCCTGCTCCAATGCCATTACCATCTTATGGGACCATCATGGTCCACACGGCCCCTGGTTGGCCAGAATGTCACCATGCAACACATGACTGTTTTTGGTTGTGCTTCCTTAGCCTGTAGCCAGATTCTGTTAGAGCAATACTGCACCCAAGTGGATGCGGATGGACCTCTGGGGGCAGCACAGTGCCTGGCACATGGCAAACACAGGAATGGACAGCCACTCTGGGAATAAGCAAACTCTCAAAGGAAGTAGCAGGGGGAAATCCCATTAGTTACACAAGCTACAGTAACAGCCTGCTACAGGTCAAGCACTGGCAAGGCACCAGGGATACATCAGGGAAGCAGAGAATTGTCAAAACTCCTATTTTCACAGGGGCTTATTGAAAGTAAGGGGAGGGGCTGGCACCTGTGGCACAGCAGGTAAAACCACCGTCTGCAGTGCCGGCATCCCATAAGGGTGCAGGCTTGAGTCCAAGCTGCTCCACTTCTGATCCAGCTCCCTGCTAATGTGCCTGGTAAAGCAGCAGAAGATGGCCCAAGTGCTTGGACCCCTGCACCCATGGGGAGACCTGGAAGAAGCTCCTGGCCCTTGGCTTCCGCCTGGTTCAGCCCTGGCTTTGGGGAGTGAACCAGTGGATGGAAAATCTCTTTCTCTCGCGCTCTCTGTCTCTCTCTCTCTCCTTCTCTGTAACTCTTTCGAATAAAATAACTTTATAAAAAGGGGGAGAGGGGTAGAGAAGAGATAATATACAATCAAATTAAGTACCTATGCAGGTAGAGGTGCATATACAAAGAGATACTGGAGACGATATTCACCAGGTAGATGCAATAAGATAAATCGGTTGGGAAGGGGAAGAGTGTATCGCAGTGTTAGAACCGGGGAAGCCAAGGAAGGCCTCCCAAGAATGAATTCCTGCATCGGCATCAGGGATGGGGGGGCATGTAGGGAGGGAGCCAGCAGATGATGGGAGGGGGGAGACATGTAGGGAGGGAGCCAGCAGATGATGGGGGGGACATGTAGGGAGGGAGCCAGCAGATGATGGGGGGGAGACATGTAGGGAGGGAGCCAGCAGATGATGGGGGGGACATGTAGGGAGGGAGCCAGCAGATGATGGGGGGGGGGGGGGACATGTAGGGAGGGAGCCAGCAGATGATGGGAGGGGGAGACATGTAGGGAGGGAGCCAGCAGATGATGGGAGGGGGGGACATGTAGGGAGGGAGCCAGCAGATGATGGGGGGGGAGACATGTAGGGAGGGAGCCAGCGGATGATGGGAGGGGGAGACATGTAGGGAGGGAGCCAGCGGATGATGGGGGGGGACATGTAGGGAGGGAGCCAGCAGATGATGGGGGGGGACATGTAGGGAGGGAGCCAGCAGATGATGGGGGGGGGACATGTAGGGAGGGAGCCAGCAGATGATGGGGGGGGGACATGTAGGGAGGGAGCCAGCAGATGATGGGGGGGAGACATGTAGGGAGGGAGCCAGCAGATGATGGGAGGGGGGAGACATGTAGGGAGGGAGCCAGCAGATGGGAGCGCGCTCTCTCTTTGCCTCTCTAATTAATTAACAGACTGCGAACTGAGTCCAGGCCTGTAGGGGTCAGGAAAGGTGGCGGTGGGTGCGGAGGGAACAGTGACTGCCAAGGCCCTGAGGCCCAGGAGGGCAGGACAGAGGGCTGCCTTGTCTGCAGGTCGCCAACGGGGCTGAAAAAGCTGGGAAGGGCAGAGACCTCTCCTCCCAGCGTCCGGGCGAGGGGAGCGCATCAGAGAGCGCAGGGCCCCGAGTGTGGACCCCGGCCCACTTCAGGGACCTCCCCCGGGGAACTTACAAATGCTCGTTCTCGGGCCTCTCCCCGCCCAAACTCCTCACTCTGGGACGCAGGGGTGGGCGGGCACTCGGCGTCCGAACACCGCCTCCTGGCGACCGTGCTGAGCCCACGCCGGAGGCCCCCGGAGCGCGGCCCCTCGGCGTTCCAGTGCCTGTCCTCTTCCCATTACCCACCCCGTCACGGCCCTCCGCATCCCGAAGCCTGGGCTGCGCCCCTGCACCCGGCAGCCGGGCGCGGGACTCTCCGAAAACGACCCAGGCGTCCGGGCGCACCGCGGCCCCCGGGAAGCGGCAGGTGCAAAGGCGCCGGTAGCCGGGGAGGCCGATCGCGGCGCCGAGACCTGCGGGCTCCCGCGGCCCGGGGCACGCACCTCGCGCCGCCCGCCGCCGTGCACCGCGCGCGGCCCGGGGCCTGGGAGTCGCGGCGACTGCAGAGCCGGGCCGGGGCGGCGGGCCCGGGCAGCGCCCTCTAGGCAGCGGAAGTGGAGCTCGCTTTACATCCGTCCTCCCCGCCTTGCAGAGTTGGGAGACCGCAGGCTGGGGGGTGTGGAAAAATAGCAGGAAAAGTGCTTGCACCATGTAGACCCGCGCCCCGCGCCCTGGCGCCCCGGCCGCGCGGAGGCCTCCCAGCCTGCGGCCATGAACGCGAGCAGCGAGGGCGACAGCTTCCCCGGCTCCGTGCAAAGTGAGTGCTTTTCCGGGCGCCGTGCGCGGTCCGGGGCCCGGGCCCAGGCACGTCCGCGACGCAGCCCGCAGGCCCGGGGCCCCGAAATCGGGGTGACGGGCGCCAGCCGCGTCGCGGGGAACCGCGGCGGGCGCGCGGAACAGAGGACGCCGGGGTGGGCCGGCGGCGGGGGGCGCTGCGCTGCCCCGAGAGACCCCAGGGCGCGGGGCCGGGGTTGGGGGGAGGGCTCCGCCGTGCAGACAATCGCCACTCCCTCGGGGCCCTCCCGCCCCGCCGGGCGGAGCTTGGGGCGCGGAGGGAGGGAGCGCGGATCTGGGGTGACCCGGGCAGCAGGGATGGGAAAACTTGGGCCGCGGGGGCTCGGAATTGCAGCCCGGGCAGCGGCTGGGCTCACGAGGTGTCGCCGGCTCCTTGCCCGGCAGAGGTGGAGGCGTGGATGGGGAGTGGGGCCGCGGTCGCGTTCTTGGAGTTTGGGGCTCGCGCGTCTGTTCCCGAGGAGGACCCCGGCCTGGTGCAAGTCCCTGGCTCGCCCGCGGCATTGTTTCCCAAAGTGCGGTCCGCGGACCGCGCGCAAACGCTGCCCCCGGGGGCCGAGCGCGGGTTCAGTGACGCCTCCCCGGGGTGCGGCGGGGCGACCCCGCGGCGCCCGAAGCGGCTCCCCGACTCGCCTGGGTGTTCCTAGCGGGACTTCCCCGCCCACCCCAGGGCGACGCCGCTTCTCCCGGGCGGCCCTCAGGTACGTGGGCACCCCAGGTACAGCGCGCCGGGCCGCTCGCAGGGGCGTGGGGCTGGGGGCCGGGGGCCGCGCAGGGCCGCTCCATCCTCACCATAGCCCTGCTCCCCACTTCGCAGATGACAGCGCCAAGCCCGCAGGCCGTGCTAAAAAGTGACGGTGTCGGGAGGGCCCCTGTGGGTGCGGGTCCCCGTGACGCCCCTCCTCACGGAGTCCGTCCTTGGTGTGGGTCCTGTTCCGTCACCGGGAATCCTCTGCACCCCGAGTCGCCGCACCTCTCCTCCTCTGGGTCCCTGAGTCCGCAGCACCCGCCTGCAGGGGGCGCTCTCAGCGCGATCCCGCTCCTGGGCAATCCACCCAGGCCTGGGGAAGACTGGGTGTGATGTAAATGTCACAGATTTTCAGGAAATGGTGATACTGGGACACTTGTCACACAAGGGTGCTTCAAAAAGTTCGTGGAAAATGTCATGGAACGTTTACTCTGGTGCAGAAAAGATTTGAAATCCATGCATAGTTTTTTCATAATATGCATTTCCATGAATTTTTAAAGATGCTTTTTATTCAGATATAAAAAAATTTTGCACCAAAGTAGCTTATCTTTTTTTTAAAAAAAGAAAGATTTATTTATTTATTTGAGAGGCAGAGTTGCAGACAGAGAGAGGGAGAGAGAGAGAGAGGTCTTCCATCCACTGGTTCACTCCCCAAATGGCTGCAATGGCCAGAGCCAGGCCTATCCAAAGCCAGGAACCAGGAGCTTCTTCTTCCTGGTATCCCATGTGGGTGCAGGGGCCCAATCTCTTCTGCTGCTTTCTCAGGCCATTAGTAGGGAGCGGGATTGGAAGTGGAGCAGCCAAGACAAGTTAAGCAGAGGCTTAACTTACTAGCCACAACGCTGGCTCCACTTATCTTTTTTAAAAGTTTTATTTTAGGGGCCGGCGCCATGGCTCACTTGGTTAATCCTGCGCCTGTGGTGCCGGCATCCCATATGGGTGCTGGGTTCTAATCCTGGTTGCTCCTCTTCCAGTCCACCTCTCTGCTGAGGCCCGGGAGGGCAGTGGAGGATGGCCCAAGTACTTGGCCCCTGCACCCGCATGGGAGACCAGGAGGAAGCACCTGGCTCCTGGCTTCAGATCGGTGCAGCGCCAGCCGTAACGGCCATTTGGGGAGTGAACCAGCAGAAGGAAGACCTTTCTCTCTCTCTCTCACTGTCTGTAACTCTATCTGTCAAATAAAAAAAAAGTTTTATTTTATTTATTTGAAAGGCAGAGTTAGAGAGAGAGGGAGAAGCAGAGAGAGATCTTCCTTCTGCTGGTTCACTCCCTAAATGGCCACACAACGGTCAAGGCTGGAACTGGGAGCTTCTTCGGGGTCTCCCACGTGGGTACAGGGGCCCAAGCACTTGGGCTGTCCTCCACTGCTTTCCCAGGCCACAGCAGAGAGCTGGATCAGAAACAGAGCATCTGGGACTAGAACCAGCACTCAGATGTAGAATGATGCTGTGGCAAGCAGCAGCTTAACACACTGAGCCGCCATGCTGGCCCTAATACATAATCATCTTAAGTAGTTTTTAAGTGTAAAGAAAATGAATGGGAGAAGATATTTCACAGCATTCATGGGAAGCTTTGGAGTGAAGATTATCTGTGATTTCCACACACACACACACACACACCCCGCTTCTTTATATGTTTCTTCAAAATTTTCTGTTTAAACATGAATTTCCTTATAATAATACAAAGAAAATTTTAAAAATAAAAATTAAGGTAGTCTTATTAGTTAGAAATTTGTTAATTGTGTTTTGTTATTTAGCATATATATAGTACTTTCTAATATAGTACCAGATACTGTGCTGAGTATTTTGCAAATATTAACACAGTATTAAAACTCTTAGTGTCAGGGCCCTGGCTGTGGTGTAGCGGGTAAAGCCGCCACCTGCAGTGCTGTCATCCCATATGGGTGCCGGTTTGAGACTCGGCTGTTCCACTTCCTATCCAGCTCTCTGCTATGGCCTGGGAAAACAGTGGAAGATGGCCCAAGTCCTTGGGCCCCTGCACCCACATGGGAGACCCAGAGGAAGCTCCTGGCTCCTGGCTTCGGATCGGCACAGCTCCAGCCGTTGCGGCCAATTGAGGAATGAACCAGCGGATGGATGGATAGAAGACCTCTCTCTCTCTCTCTCTCTCTCTCTCTCTGCCTCTCCTCTCTCTGTGTAACTCTTGACTTTCAAGTAAAATAAATAAATCTTAAAAAAAAAAAAATCTCTTAGTGTCCTTACTATTGGAAACAATGTCCCTGTCAGTAACTTGGCTGCAAGTGACAGAAGCCCAAACTGTACTGGCCTAACAAAAAATCTGGACTTGGTTGTTTCCTGCATTGAATCAGGGGATTGAAGTAAGAGCTGGAATCTATAGGGATCATAGCACCCTATTCATAGTTACAAGACAGCTGCAGAAGCCCCTGTCATTGTATCTGCATTGAAAACCAGAAAACAGAGACAGTGCCAGTCATGTCTGTTTCCTTTTTGTCATGAACGCCAGACTTCCCAGAAAGTCCTCCAGTGGTGTGCTAAAGGAGGTCCCAAGTATGTCAGAGACCAGGATGGTTTAAACGGGTGGTTCTCATGGTAGGGTGGGCATTTGGAAGTGGGGTGGGACTGGTGTTCACACTGACCCTTACACTAGGGTGCAAGATGGCTACTGGTCCTGCAAAGAGCAGGGAAACCGTGCACATCCAAAAACTTTTGTACATAAAATGTAACTGGTGGCGTGGGCACCAGTGCATCGTGAGCCATCACTCGGATCTGGGCACATTGCTGCTAGCACAGAACAGGGATTCTCTGGCATGGGGACGGGCCCGCAGCGAGCTGCCACTTTGCCTGTTTTCCTTCCATGAGTCTGGTTTGCATTGTCATTAGAAGCTGTCTGGATCAGAAGCCTTTGAGAAAAATAAAAATGGATAAACTTGTACAGCTGTGTGGGATTAACGTGCGGCTTTCCCTTTGCTCCGTGGAGTTCCGGGCGGCACGACGGTGCTGGTGGCGCTGACTCCTGACATCCACATCTGTGGCATCTGCAAGCAGCAGTTTAACAACCTGGATGCCTTTGTAGCCCACAAGCAAAGCGGCTGCCAGCTGACCGGGGCGGCCGGGGCAGCCCCCAGCACGGTCCAGTTTGTGTCAGAGGAGACGGTGCCTGCTGCTCAGACTCAGACCACCACCAGGACCATCACTTCAGAGACCCAGACCATCACAGGTACAGCTGTGGGGAGGGGTGGGGGTCACAGGTACAGCTGTGGGGTGGGGGTGGGGAGGAGTCACAGGTACAGCTGTGGGGTGGGGGTGGGGGTCACAGGTACAGCTCTGGGATGGGGAGATGGGGGGGGAATCACAGGTACAGCTCTGGGGTGGGGGTGGGGAGGAGTCACAGGTACAGCTCTGGGGTGGGAGTGGGGCATCACAGGTACAGCTCTGGGGTGGGAGTGGGGCATCACAGGTACAGCTCCAGGATGGGGGTGGGGTATCACAGGTACAGCTCCAGGATGGGGGGGTGGGGAGGCATCACAGGTACAGCTCTGGGATGGGGGTGGGGGGTCACAGGTACAGCTCCAGGATGGGGGGGTGGGGGGTCACAGGTACAGCTGTGGGGAGGGGTGGGGGGTCACAGGTACAGCTGTGGGGTGGGGGTGGGGTGTCACAGGTACAGTTCTGGGATGGGGGGGTGGGGAGGAGTCATAGGTACAGCTCCAGGATGGGGAGGTGATGGGGGCATCACAGGTACAGCTGTGGGGTGGGGGTGGGGGGTCACAGGTACAGCTCTGGGGTGGGGGTGGGGTGTCACAGGTACAGCTCTGGGATGGGGGGATTGGGGAGGGGTCACAGGTACAGCTCCAGGATGGGGAGGTGATGGGGGCATCACAGGTACAGCTGTGGGGTGGGGGGGTCACAGGTACAGCTCTGGGGTGGGGGTGGGGCATCACAGGTACAGCTCCAGGATGGGGAGGAGTCACAGGTACAGCTCCAGGATGGGGGGGTGGGGGGGTCACAGGTACAGCTCTGGGGTGGGGGTGGGGGTGTCACAGGTATAGCTCCAGGATGGGGAGGTGATGGGGGCATCACAGGTACAGCTCCAGGATGGGGGTGCGGGGGTCACAGGTACAGCTGTGGGGTGGGGGTGGGGGGGTCACAGGTATAGCTCCAGGATGGGGAGGTGGGGGGATCACAAGTACAGCTGCAGGATGGTTAGGTGGGGAGGAGTCACAGGTACAGCTCCAGGATGGGGAGGTGATGGGGGCATCACAGGTACAGCTCTGGGATGGAGGTGCAGGTCACAGGTACAGCCCTGGGATGGGGGTGGGGGTCACAGGTACAGCTCCAGGATGGGTGTGGGGGGGTCACAGGTACAGCTCTGGGGTGGGGAGATAGGGGGGGATCACAGGTACCGCTCTGGGGTGGGGGTGGGGGGTCACAGGTACAGCTCGGGTGGGGGTGGGGGGTCACAGGTACAGCTGTGGGGTGGGGGTGGGGGGGTCACAGGTATAGCTCCAGGATGGGGAGGTGGGGGGATCACAAGTACAACTGCAGGATGGTTAGGTGGGGAGGGGTCACAGGTACAGCTCTAGGATGGGGAGGTCGGGGGAGCAATGTGGTCTGTGTTCCAGGTACCTCCAAGGAACTTGTTAAAAGCATAGATGCCCAGGGCCCACCTCCTGGGGCTGCTGGTTTATTATTTCTAACTAGCTCCATTGGGAAGCCAGTTGTCCCACAGGCTGGGGAGCTACAAGGTTAAAACATTAGCCATTAATACTGACACTACTGCCCTTCAGAATGTTTGTGGACAATGGAATTAAAAGATAGGTTTGTTTTGGTGCAAAAAAAAAAAAAAAAGAAAGAAATGGAAATCCTGGCATCCTTGTAAAAGTGGTTACATGACAGACAAAAAACAGGCTTCTAAAAAAAACCTCTATGCTAAAAATAATATGTGCAGGAAATATGTTGCAATAAAAAGGGTGGTTGTTTGGGTGCTGGGATATGATTCCTGACCTTGGCATTGCTTGTGTGAGGGCAAGAAAACAGATTAAAAAAAAAAACAAATCTACAAAGAGGCAGTCTCGCCTTTCTTACATCGCCAGGTGGGGAACCAGAAAAGTCGTCCCTGTTCTCTTGATCGAATCCCCGCACTCCACCAAAAACGGTTCACAGAGGGCCACGGTGGTCATGTGCATGATGAAATGTAGCAGCTCTGTACACATACACAGAAATAACACATATGTGTACACACATAGAGAAACAACACATATGTGTACACACACAGAAGTAACACATATGTGTACACACACACACATCCCTACACTTAATGCCCATGTGATCTGTCTTAAGGGATCCAACAGATAACTAACTATTTACTTTTTTAAAAATTTACTTATTTGAAAGGCAGAATTAGAGAGAAGGAGAGGCAGAGAAATCTTCCATCTGCTGGTTCACTCCCCAGATGGCTGCAATGGCTGGAGCTGGGCTGGTCAGGAGCCAGGAGCCTGGGTCTCCCACATGGGTGCAGGGGCCCGAGCACTGGGGCCACCTCTGCTGCCTTCCCAGGAGCTAATGCAGCAGGGTGCTGGATCAAAGTAGAGCAGCTGGGGCTCGAACTGGCACCGGGATGCTGGCATTGCAGGTGGCAACCTTACTCACTACACCACCAAATCACTCCCCCACAACAGATAACTTTGAAAGCATAAAGCGGCCCACATATGAAATAGTACAGACAATCCCAGGTCCTGTGGGAGAATGAAGAATACGTTCCTCACCTAAGGTGTGGGGAGCAACTCGGACTAGATTGTTACTCGAATTAAGACTTATTCTATACATCTGCTCTCCCACAATATGGCGCTGGGAGAGGAGGAAACAGCTTCTACACAGCTGCCTCCAGTTCCACCAATAAACAGCAGGACCTGCTCCTGATTGGAGGAGAGCAGCGTACTCGGCGTGTGGGTAGCAGAGTTGGGATTGGTGGAAGAGGACTATAAAGGAGGAGAGAGACAACACGCACCAGGAACATCTATCTGAAGGAACACCTGAGCAGCCCCCGAGAGAGCCGGCCGGCGGTGTGCCGCTCCCCTGCGGAAGTGGGGAAAGTGGCAGGGGGAACCGCCCTTCCACGGAGGTGGAAGGGTCAGTAGCCAACCCGGGAAGAACCAGCAGCAAACCCGGGGAGGGCCGAGCAGATAAAAAGAACAGCGCAGGGTCCTGTGTCGTTCCTCCGCGAAGAGGAGGAGCGACATAATGGTGCCGTGACTCGGATAGGAAACCTAGGCAGGGTTTAGTATCGTTCCTCTACGAAGAGGGGGAGCGACACTAAGGTATTCAATTTTTTTTTTTTTTTTTTTTTGGACAGGCAGAGTGGACAGTGAGAGAGAGAGACAGAGAGAAAGGTCTTGCTTTTGCCGTTGGTTCACCCTCCAATGGCCGCCATGGCCGGCGCGCTGCAGCCGGCGCACCACACTGATCCGAAGGCAGGAGCCGGGTGCTTCTCCTGGTCTCCCATGGGGTGCAGGGCCCAAGCACTTGGGCCATCCTCCACTGCACTCCCGGGCCACAGCAGAGAGCTGGCCTGGAAGAGGGGCAACCGGGACAGAATCCAGCGCCCCGACGGGGACTAGAACTCAGTGTGCCAGCGCCACTAGGATTAGCCTATTGAGCCGTGGCGCCGGCCAAATTGTATTTTTTTTTTTTTTTTTTTACAGGCAGAGTGGACAGTGAGAGAGAGAGAGACAGAGAGAAAGGTCTTCCTTTGCCGTTGGTTCACCCTCCAATGGCCGCCGCTGCAGCCGGCGCACCGCGCTGATCCTGGCAGGAGCCAAGAGCCAGGTGCTTTTCCTGGTCTCCCATGGGGTGCAGGGCCCAAGCACCTGGGCCATCCTCCACTGCACTCCCTGGCCACAGCAGAGAGCTGGCCTGGAAGAGGGGCAACCGGGACAGAATCCGGCGCCCCAACCGGGACTAGAACCCGGTGTGCCGGCGCCGCAAGGTGGAGGATTAGCCTATTGAGCCACGGCGCCGGCTCAAATTGTATTTTAAGAACAATATTAACATTCCTTCCAAAGAAGACCAGCTGTGAATAAGCCCCTTCACTCTCAAAGGTACAGAATGATAAATGAGATTGCAAATAAAAATACAATTTTTCCAAAGTAAAAATGAAGTATGAACAAAGTCTAAAGGCAAACCCATAACTAGGGGAGGGGGATGTGCTTTATATACCAAAAGTGTATGGAAAAATGGCATTATAAGGTAAGTTTATTTTGGTACCAAAATAACTGAAATCCATGCATATGAAAGATCTTCAAAAAAATTCACAGGAAATGCATATTATGAAAAAAACTAAGGATTCCTACTTTTTTGGTACCAAAAGAAACATACCTTTTGATTCCATTTTTCTTAAACTTTTTGAAGGATTAAGACATGTTACCCCTCATGTATAGGAAGTCCTAAAAGCAGTGGAAGGGGAGAGAAAACATAAAACAGATGACACGAGACCCCTGAGCTGGAAGGGGTGCTCTCTGGCCTTGGGTGCTGAAGAACCACAGATTGACACGAGGCAGGGGAAAGCAGCCGGCTGCGCTTCCTGAAACGTACACTTATGTAACCTGTCCAGTTTTGTGCTATCTTTTGAACTGTAAATTTGAGATGTCTCAGCTTTAAAATGTATATAAATGGGGCCGAGGCTGGGGCGTAGTAGGTTAAGCATCAACCTACAGCACAAGCATCCCATATGGGCACCAGTTCTAGTCCAGCTGCTCCACTTCCGATCCAGCTCCCTACTAATGACCTGGGAGAGCAGTGGAAGATGGTTCAAGTGCTTGAGCCCCTGCGCCCATGTGGGAGACCCAGATGAAGCTCCTGGCTCCAGATTAGCCCAGCTCTGGCCATTGTGGCCATCTGGGGAGTGAACCAGCGGATGGAAGACCTCTCTCTTTGTCTCTCCCTCTCTCTTTTTACTCTGCCATTCGAGTAAAAAAATAAAATCTTAAAAAAAAGAAGAAGAAGAAAGATATATAAGCACATTTTCCCAATACCTCTACTTCTGAGTGTGTATCCCATGAATACTCCCAAACAAACGTACAAAACTGTTCGCTTACAGGATATACTAAAGATGAAGTGGAGCCTTCGATGTCCATGTGAAGAGGAAATTAGATAAACACATACCAGAGATTCAGACAGTGCCCTGTGACTTAGCCTTGGAAAGCAGACACAGGAAGATGA